TGAGCGGCGCCGTGCCAGGACGAAGACACGGTTGTCGTTGTGGATGGGCTGATGGCACGCGGCGGTAATTCAGGCGGCGGCAGTGTACGAGGATTGTACGGTTGTGGCGCGGGACCCTTGCTCTTTGTGTACGTCACCGCCAAACGCGATTCAGTATTCGATGAGGCGTTTGATAGTGGTGAACCTTGATGTTGACTCGGTGAGTTTGGAGATCCGCGGCACAGCCCGCGTTGACATCTGCTGCAAATATACCGGAAACTGTAACTTAGAAATAACCAGACTAACCCACGAGACAAAGATTAGAACGCAAATGCTTACTTGGCAGGTGCAACGTAATTTCCAGGAAAAACTCCGCACTTCTGGGTACGATTGGACGTTCCTTTAAACCATCCATCTTGACAGCGTTCCGTTACCATGTAAATCCCACCCTTTCGTAATTCAAGCTCATCCGCTTTCTGGGGCTTGTATGGATATAATGCTACGTATGCCGCTGGCAGATGCGTCGTAGTGGATGCGCTAGTAGTAGTTTGGCTAGCAGATATACTTTGTGACGCCTGAGCAAGAACAAGATCGCTGCTGCCACTTCGTCTGTGACGAAGATTATGATCTGTACAACTACCGCTCGTCTATAATAGAAGAAAATTCATTTAAATTTAGTATTCAAAAAATGTCAAAATACAAAAAGCAAGAGAGAATTATGAACTGTATGTAGCTATCCATACAGAAATTGTTAGAAAAACATGATAAGGTTCCCTTACTTGTAAGGAGGAAAATGACTCATTGCCTCCACTATTATTGGCGTTATTAGGGGCACTGTCTACCGGAGGACTAAGTATTTCAGCGCTATGTCTATGATGGGGATGTGCATGGTGACCTGTATTGACGGCAGTAAAACTATGACGTTTAACGTTATGCCTGTTGCCGACCGCCGGTGGCGACGTTGCAGGACTACCAGGACTACTCGGAGCAGTACTGGAACTGCTGGACGTGGTCGAACTGTTGGGGGTGTTTGGAGTAGTGGTTGTGGAGCTGCCGCCAGATGATACATTTGAGACAGAGTCAGATACCTGTAATGCAGCGTTCTGTGCAATATAACATCAAAACACATGTCTCACAAAACACATCTTATGTTAAATTAATAAAGAGTGCTTTCTAGGAAGAGACATAAATGATATAGTATAGTAAATCTCTCTTTATCTCTACAGTAAATCTCTATTTAACATTAGTACAAGAATGTAATGATTTATGACTGTATCACTTATTTCTTGCTAGAAAGTATCTAAATGCTTGATCAAAAATATGTACCTGCACCAATTGCGGTCGAGATTGACTCGTTGTTTGCACATTACGCGAATGATCGGTTGGTATTAACGGCGTGGTTTCTTCGTTCGTCGGAGTTGGCGGGGCTACCCTTGACGGTCCCGGCTGTACACTGATTAAAACATTAATTAATATATGTTTACTTAAAAACTTAAAAAAACATGACAATTATATTAATCAATCGTTCTACTTACTTGGTCGAGAGTTTCATTAAAGCTCTAGCAACGCTATTCAGCTCGACAAAAGCCAGCGGAAAGATTCCAATTCTGTCCAAAAGTTTACCTTCTGCCCAATTTTCATCTACTCTTCGAATAACGCTGATAACTTCTCCCTGAGGAATACATTTATTTTGTACATATAAACATGTCATTGATACATTAATGGTAAATGATTATGAAAAAGTAATATGTGAAACTACCTTGTTAAATGTTAAACAACCATCCTCATCATCATTTGTCATCCTAAAATCATATAGTGCTTTACATTGAGGTACATGCGGTGTCAAAGGCGTCATCACCTGGAAATTGTGATAAAGCAAATTATGATTAATTCAAGTTTAAAGTATTCAAACCACTATAACACGATGTTTCAAGATGCACAGATTATACCTGAACGTAAGACAAAGGAAAGACACCATGATTATTGCCACATTCCCCAAAATACCAATTGTTGTCAATTTTCTTCCGAAGAATGACTATGTCACCCTTCTTGAAACTTAAATCGCTATAAGAACAAACAATAATATTTACACAGCAAGATAAAAAAATACACAAATAAATCGTGATTGTACAACTTACAAACATCTAATGCTCACCCTGGCACTTTGGAGACATAATCGTAGAATGTCGTACTGCCGGCTCGGAAGTGATGGCAGGTGCGAGATTGCCGGTGACAATAGGAGCCGGAGCAACCTGGTGACCGCCAAACAATCGTTGGGGCGCGGCAGTGCCACCCGAAGACCTCAACAACGGTAACGCGGACTTGGCCTGATTCTTCGGCGTGGCATTGCGCATCCCCTCGAGGATACGCATCAGCAACACGTTCGGCGGTAGGTCATCCACCTTGGCATCCACGAGGACACGGCATTCTGGGCAACGTAGCTCGCGATGGGTACTGACGATCTCCTCCAGGCACTTCTTGCAAAACGTGTGCTGACACGGCAGTACCTTGCTAGACGTGTCGAGTCGTTCCAGGCATACCGAGCACTCTAACAAGTCGTTCAACATGCACTCGTCCATCATGGAGCGGTCCCTCGGCCTTCCGTACACGCCTGCACCCAATCGTTCGGTCCCTCCAAATCCCTCGGTCGTACCCAATGGTACCTACTCCGGATTCCTCGTCGTCGCTGCTCTTAAACTCACTCTATCGAAACGTACTCCCTCTCTCATCTAACCCTCCCAATTGTTCCTCTCACTCTTTCTCTCTTTCGTTTTTTCCTCGTTGTTGCTCCCCGCCTTCAGTCCATCTCTCTCAAATACTCACAAACCGCCGTTGCGAAGAGAAACAGACTATCGTATATAGTTGGGCTGCAATTCCGGCACCGTACGTACGTTATCGTCGAGCGTAGGAATTTAATTCGCTTTTACTCATTCCTTCTCCCTCCTCCTGCCCCTCTCTCTCATTCACTGTATATTCCACTCTATCGTCTCTATCCGCCCTTCGCGCTCGCTCGCGGCTCCAGAAAAGTTACGCGCCGCCCCGTTCAGCCCCGTTCAGCCCCGTTTAGCCCCGTTCAGTCCCGTTCTCCGGAATATGTACGCTCTCCTATTCGCTCAGTCAATCGACGGTTTGATTAACAACGTCTCGGCAATCTCGGCTCTTGCATGTCGCACGGCGGTAGCTGGCGGCACGGCCTCGGCGCGCATCGCGGCCACGGCATCGATCAATCGCGCACGTCGTCGATTCCGCTGATTCCGCTCACGGCGGGGTCGTGCACCCGCGACACCGTCGTCGTCATCCTCCACGCCGACGAACCCGACGGCGACGTTACCGCGATGTTATCCGAACGTTGACTCCTTCGTTCCGTCCGCGGCGTTTCCGCTTCTTTCTCTTTCTCTCTTCTTCTCTTTTCTCCCTCTCTTCCACGCGTTTTTTAAAAGTCATTCGCCCTGCACACAGACCGGTGTGTACTACTACTGTGTACTGATGTACTGGTGTGTACGCGCCCTAGTCGCCAGACGTACGCGCGCCAACTTCAGTACGCTCGCGGCTCGCGGCGTGTCGCACATCTAGATATTTTTCTGCGTCATGATCATTCACAAAAAAAAAATCAAAATTAAATTCTTATCGATTGATCTAACATTGCGTAAACAATTATGTTATCTGTTTTTAATCTTACGCATTACTAATCTTACATACTAATTTCTCATTCACACATAACAACACTTAATTTACTCGTATAAATGCCGAACCGTTCAAGTTCCAATTGTCATTCGATTTGCTAAAAATGTACGATAGTGTTAATTACATTGTGTTTTCAATTAATAAAATATCATATTTTATATTTAAATGATTTCACGTATAGCGTTCACTAATACAGTACTTGGATTAAAAAAGAGAAATATAATCCTAGCAAACAAGAATGGATTAAAATGGATTGAAATTTTTTTTCTATTCGAATGCGTATTTTAAAAAAATAGGAAATACTTTTTTTTTAATTTAATTGGATTCAATTAGATTCAATTGGATGCAATTGGATTGAAAAACTGCATTTCCTATTCAAAATTTTTAATTGAACAGTATTCACAATGTACAGAAAAAGTTAATATTATTTTTAGATTGAAAGGCATAGAGATGCTCCATGCAATTCCTATAAATGAATAAAAATGAATTCAGAATTGAAAAGCATTCATTTTAATATTCGGGAATCAATATTTCTGAAAATCTGAATTCATTTCAATTCATTTCAATCCATTCTCGTTTGCTGGGATGTATCGCAAATGTTGCCAAGTCTATTCGAATTCCTTATATTCCGATTTTTTTCAATATTTTAGCTATGATTTAGGTTTTTTATTTTCCTCTCCAAAAGTTATTCGGAAATTCTCCTAATTTTTTGCGCCCCTAAAAAATATATCGATAAAAAAATCTCTAAATCTAGTAGAAATTTTACTAAATTGGTAATTCAGCTACAATTTAAAGAACAGACTTATTTTAGTCTATTCTTCGTAAATATATTAGTTTATCATACTTTTACCATTTAATATGAATTTAGATATGTGATCACGGTAGAAAAAAAAAGAGGAAGGATGACAAGTGCAAAAAATTCAGCTACGAAAAATTAACAAACAGCTATCTTCATTTGCGCGGCAAGTGATCGAATTGGACGTTTAAACTTAAGTCCAACGTTTTTCGAACACACCTGCTCGATGTACATACACGCCACACGCCTCACATCGGTTATGCATCAACAATCAACAATCCGTTCCAGATGAAAAGGAGTGGGATCCCTTCTGTCGTAGTGCAGCTGGTGGGAAAGTCAATAGCGTGCGTACTACGAACACTGGCGTAGCTTAAAGTAGATTCGAGTAGAATAGATACGAATACGTTCTTGACAAAAAGTGCGTGACTCAAGTCTGGAATTGGAGTCCGGAGTCGACCAGAGTCGACGTTCCTCCTTGGTTGAGCTTTTTCTTCACGCCTTAACGACGCTGCTGTCTGTGAGCTAGATATTAAAGTCTCGTGTTTACTTCTTTCTGGTAGGCATATTTGACGCATTTCTTCTGCGAGAAACCGATGGTAAAAATCATGATTATTCTTAGCGTCGATTCAATTCGCTTTGAATACCGAAGCGTTAGTTATGACACACAGTCTCTGAATGAAACAGTTATCTGAATTCGCTGTTATATATACGGTTTAAGCGACATCTGATTTTGCAACCAATCGGCTGAAATTGATAAAGTACTTATAAATTGATAAAGTAATCTACACTTTTTTATAACGTTTAACCTAAGCATTATCACAGAAACGAATAGGATAAGCGTTAGTGGACTTTGCTTAGAAGTTGAAGAAGATGTAATTTTAAAGACACGTAAAGTGATTTATAAGAAAAAAAATTTATTAAGAAAAAAATTAGGACAATTATATAAAAATAATAAAATACATAGAAATCTAGATGTTATTTATGTCAGGTAATTATATAAACTAGAAAACTTTCAAAAATATTGTTTATTAAAGAAAAAACTTTTCGCTGTGTTACAGAAAGTCTTTGATTATCAGAAACTTTTACTAGAGATTTTATTTTATTCGCTACTGATTGTATGCAATTTATCTACAAAGGAAGAATGCTCGAGTTGTGCAAAAATTAATGACTTGCTTCCAGTATATCCTTGATATGAAACAATAAATAATACTTAAATGACATCATAGTTTAAGATATGCTGTCGTCAAGATGCATTGACTAGGACAATCGTAAAGATTACAGCTGACCCATTTGCTAATACCTTATCCAATAATATGGGTAAGTGCAATCAATTAATACATAATGCAATATTTAATGCATAACTTTAAAAAACTTTAATTAATTACGTCACACTGAAATCATTTTTTACATTTGCCTAGTGATGGCAGGAAACGAAAATGTGCCAGGAGCCTTGGCAGATGATCCATTATCTGCAAGACTGCAATGGCTACGTCAACGCAGAGAAGCCTTACAAGAGAAGCTTGCTCAAAAAAATAATGAGTTGAAAAACCTGTGCATAGAGGAGGCGGAGTTAACCGGAGTTTTACCACCGGAAATACCTCTGGAGCCTGGCGAAAGTCCACCAACTTTTCGTAGAAAAGTTGGCACTTCCTTTATACATCCACAAAAATTGATCCTTAAGTTGAAGACATCTGATGTTGTAAGATTTTTTTTTAAATATAATGGTATAAGAATCGATGTATAAATGTTAGATTGGAGTTATGTCGTCTATTTACGGCATGCAGGAGGAATCTGAATTGGAGTTGGAAAAGCAAATACAGCTCGGAATTGTGGAAGCTGCGTTGGGTATTATTAACGATCCTACGGAAAGTAAGGCCACACGACGTAAGCACAGACTTGCTTATCAGCAAAGTCAGCGAAGACTACAAGAGTTGGAAACACAGCTGAACTTTATTAGACAAACTCGTGGTAAAATACAGCGTCCAACTCAATTGCTAGTGAACACAGGAAATTACAATACGCAAACACATTCACATATTAACGTAAAGCATAGAACAAAAAAGCCACGGCCACCTTTAGATAGTACAGGTATTATATGTGTGTGTGTGTGTGTGTGTGTGTGTATGTGTGTGTGTAGTGTGTAGTGTGTGTTAGAGAAAAATTATTACAATTACTTCTTTTATAATTTTACAAAATAACGTTTCAATCTATAACATAATTTGTATGCAACAGGAAATGAGGTAACAAGTCCGAAATCTGTTGGAAGGAGTATTCTTCATGAACCTGGTATTAGTTTGAGTCCCTTGGCATCTGAGGACAAATCGAATACTTACAGTGGACATGGATATGAGGAGCAATTAACCATACCGAGCGTTTGCAATCATCATCATCACAGTGGCACATATTCCGGCATAAGTCCTGTCGAACAATCGAACATTAAGATCATGGAACACGATCACACTGATAATCACAACGTCTACATTTTACCTGATCAGTATCGCGCGCGTACATATTCCCATGGAAGCGGCGGATCTCGTGGCCATTATCAGGATACTGAGAGAATATATCGACCTTACGTGCCGAACACATATACCGAAGACGAACGTCAAATGCGCTACCTTAAATTTCAGCATATGCAAAAGCAACAACAATTACAGGATCAGGTGCAGCAGCACACCCACAAACTACAGTATTCGGGTTCCTTTGAATACAAGCACCTCGATAATGCGGATATCTTACGGCGAAGCGGACAGGGAACCTATGACAGAGATCTTCGTTCATCTCATTATTTGCCCATCGATTACCAAGCCTACTATAAGAACAGCGCGCAATCTCAGCAAATACAGAGGCGAGATCGTGACTCGTCATTATCAACTTGCATTAAAAACACCTCGCGGCACAGTGGTGGCAGTACATCGATCGAGGCTCCATTGCCATCTGGTTACTGGGTGCGCCACCATGATGATATTCACTGGGTGAGCACGGACGAATCTGACAGATTCGGCAGTTTAGATCGTAGACGCCGAAATGCTCAACACAACAGTGTCAGTGAGGCGAATCTTGACACACAATCGCGTTATCGCACGGTTGCCGTTGCATGTACTAAAAGCTCGTCGAGCAGCAATGTCACCGCGTCATCCCATCAGCATCACTCTGTTCACCTGCTGCCGTTATCCGAACAACAAACGTCGACGAACAACAAGATGCTGCTGCGTACACAATCATTAGGTAGCGTAGAGACCTGGAACTCGAATCATTCGCACGATTCGCACGATGGTAAAGATGCGTCTGCGACGGAATACATCAATAACAATCGTAAAAGTCGTCAGAAAGAGTGGTACGAAACATCGTTGGATGCAGGAGTGAGTGCGGGCTTGGATCACAATCTGATCGCCGCACGAAAAAATGTGCATTATCAATCGAGTCCACCACTTGTTCGTATTAAAACTGCCACTAATGAGAACGCAAGAGATAATCAGACGACAGCCGGACCGCCACTGCCAATGAGCCCAGCGAACCGTCATAAGAGAGATAAGCCCGAGGAGCGGCAGCACCCAGTGCAACAGTCTCATCCTCGTTATGATCAGCCCACAATCAGGTCGAAAGTATTGGAGATACCGGCCGAATCGAAGCCATCCATGGACGTCTGCGATAATGTGATACGACCGTTAGGCTCACCGCAAAATTGCACGATTGTGCAGCCAGGAAAATATCAACCATATAGGGAAGTGACAAAGCCTTTTGAAATGTCGGACTTTTACAAGTACTCGACAAAATTCCGCAAGAGGAACGAAGCTGCCGCGCAGTCTCAGGTCGGCAACGGAGATTCTCCGCTCCAGGAGAATCGTCCTGCAGAAACAGGCACCGCTGATTTATCTAGGGATCCCAATTCTTATAATTTCGGATCAAATGATAATGTTACCGCTAGTCCGGTACAAAGAAGACTCTATCAGCCGGTACAGCGCATGACTTGTCAACCTTATCTCTCGTCGTTGAGATAATTATTTGTGCTCGCATATAATGTAGGATGTAATTATGCCTCACACAAATATCTACAGAATTATTCATTCTGAGATAATAGGCTGGTCCTATCGATAAACATTTTTTTCATTCTTTAGTTCACTATTGCAGCATACAAACAGGGTGTCACGCTTCTTCCCCCATGACATTACGATTTCAAATCGATTAGAAAATGTATCGTTAAACATTAATGCATTGATAACGAAATCTGTATATATAGATATACATACACACACACACACACACACACACACACACATATATATTCCGAAGATATAATTACACAATGTTGTTCACATATTTTTCGTTTCTCTTTTGAGAATTAATCATTCTTAACATATCTATCAAACATATCTATCAACTGTAACATAAGCATTTTTATTTTAAGAAATTTGACCATTTATATATCGTATATGAGATATGTTCTAAAAGAGTAGAAAAAGAAAAAGTAAGGAATTGGAGGGATCCAAGGATTATTCAATCCTGATCTCGATTAATTAATATTGGGACCTGAATAGTGCCTTTTATTAATGGAAGTATCAAGTGGATAATAATAAATTGTATTTTTAACTTACATCTTAACATGATTCAATAATTTCATTGAAAATTATTCTCATTATCCATTTGTTGACTTCTGATATAATTGTATTCATAACTGTGTTCAGCGATGTATATATTTTTTCTACAAACGAACTGCAATGAACTATGGTTTCTTCTAAAGAAATCGCCAGATTGATAAGATATTAATGTTGATTGTTAAATACAGTTTTTTCTGGATTATGTCATTAAATAATGTTGAAAATTTGCAGTTTTAGCATCCTCAGACTCTATTTTTAGAGGACTATTTTTATAGATTCTATCAAGGGTCTATTTCTTACGATTGAATATAAGATTTGAAAATATGCATTTTATATATTTTACTATAGATAGTTTGAAATAATAATATCTAACACTTCTATACAAGAAATGATAAAAGCGTGTGTTCTCAATCTTAATGAATAATATCGATATGTACGTGGATGATATTTTTATATAGAAATCGTTTATATATGCGCGTATATATTATATTTATATACCGCTCGGCGTATAATATTGAAAGTTAAAATAAATCTCATTAGAGATTTTATTTGTTTACCACAATGTGTTCGCCGGGAAGCAGCTTGATGTTAACTCTATGCTTGATTCGTGCGATTTACGCATTAGTCATTATAGCGCTTATTCTTATAAGTGTTTATATCATACAATTTGTATTATTCTCTTCCTATAAAAATGATGTACACTGCTACTGTACAGTGTATGCATCATTTGAAGCAATTCAGATTTATTTGATCCAAAACTATTGGAAATACTTCAGCATCACAGACATAGAAGATAAATGGCCTTATGTTAGCTGTGATTAATTATGCGTTGCGTATTGTATGCTATTTTAAAAAAATTTTGTACCGCTTTATATGATCGGTTTCGTGTCAATAAAGATGCTAATTTAATTATTCTCATTGTATATATAGTGAAAGTTTAAACAAGCGAAAAGCAATAAAAAAAATGTTTTAATGACAGGAGCGCTGAACAGCTTTTAAAAAGGAATTCAAAATATATAATAGAATTATTAAATATCGTAAAGCACATGTGATTGTCGTTTAAAAAAAAATGGGGGAAAATAATTTATCTTCAACACGAAAGAATGAAAAGAAAAAGATAACTATCGAAGTAGATGAAGATGATCCTTGTCTCAAAAAGAATAAAATTCAAGAGAAAGAGATACAAACTGAGAATGAGTCCATACGTACTCTTGGCAATGACCCGAGGTATATATATAATTGCGGTATTCATAATTAATTCAGGGATATTTTTTTGTCAACTCCATTTTGCAGATTTCAGCAACAAAATCAGACGCCGAGATGTTTCGTAATGTATACTGACTTCTATCGCTGTGAGCATATTTTAGGTAAAGATTCCGAAGCATGTACGTGGTTTAAAGATGTTTTCACGTCCATATGTCCGAAGGCCTGGGTGGAACAGTGGGATGAACTTAGACTTACAGGCAGATTACCTTGGCATAAATACAGAACTCAAGGCGATTTCCCCGGCAACAAATATGGTGAATAAAAAAAGAGAGAGAAAGAGAGAAATCAATCACGTAAAACAAAATTAAAGTTTTATATTTAAAATGAAATAATTATGATTATAAACGATCATATATATTTTACTATTAAGAAAAAGATATTATAAAAATTTTAATAAAAGAAAATTAAATAAAGATATACAATATACGAGACAGGGAGGGAATATATGTAATTAATTTACACTTCAGATAAGAAAAAAATATTTAACTTTTATTATACAGGTACAAGATTTATTAATATGAGGTAACTTATCGAAGTACGAAGAAAAAATTACTAATTGTCCGATGATACGTAATTGCTGGATTTCTCTTCTTTTCGATCTTAACTCTTCTTTTTTTCAGTATGGTCGATAGATTCTTCTATTTATCTTTACCACACTGATTGATCTTGCAGTTTAGACACTTTTTTTTTATAATTGTAAAAAATATACACTGGTCGAAATTTTATTTGAACTTTCAATAAAATACGGATACCTCTCGAGATCCCGTAGTAACACGACATTTTAAAATAGAGATCTTACATAAAAATGTAAGATTTTTGCGAAACAAAACGATAATTTCGGTATTGTGCACTAGAGCCTGCCATGGATGAAGACAACTTACCGATCTTCGAGTGTTGGCTCTGCATAACATCGCAACCTGCCTATATCGATATATCTATTTCCTAGAGGATAATTGATGATACCTGTAAATACGAAATCAAAGACATTTGCTTGAAGGAAATGATTAAAACTATTTTCTGTTCTTTCTTATGTGTACGCGACTATCTTATATATTGTATGCAATATATATATTGTGAACAATTAGATTTTAGAAATCAAGATATAGTCAAGATATAGTAAGGAACTAAACGCGTGAGCTTATGATATTTACGAATTGAAATGTTATTAATGTATTGTAAAGTGTGTGATCCACATTGACACATTTGACGAGAAATTAGAACCACCTTACGTCATGTTGAATATGTTCGGTAGTATGTAATTATTATTTCAGGTTTGATTCCTCGACTGATGAATGTATTGGCAATCCTCGTCCCTGCAAATGCCCATCATTTCGTACGGACACAGAATTCCATGGGGGTTGATGTTCCTAGCGAAAAGAGTAACAGAAACCACAAAAATCCTCAAGATTTTGAGAATAGGCCACAGACAATGGATGATCGAATACCATAATTATTTTTCAAAAAAAGGAACACTCACCTTGGTTTTTTTAAATGTGACAATATCGATATATAAGGTGCAATTTGCTTCGTCGTCGTTGTTGTATATATCGTTGTATTTGTTGTCGGCGACGATGATGGCAGTAGCGGCGAGGCTTTTTCGTTAGTCTGTTCATTTTGTTCTGAACTTGAGGAAGCAGTCGCTGATGACTTTAATTCTAAAGATGCGGCGGGATCAGACTTGTCCGTTCTACTTTCTTTTGTGTGCTCATTATTTTGTTCTGTAGGACTACTTTGGCATAACTTTGGTTCAGAAGATGACGCATCTTGGTTATCTTGGTTAAGAGTTGTGACTTGTTCCTCGTTACAATGATTCGATGCATTTGCTGAAGTTTTTTCTCTTTTTTCTGATGTTAATTGGCATGGAATCACTTGCGAGAAATCCAATAAGATTTCTGTCGATAAACTCTTATTTTGATTAGATTGCGTCAAGCAAGTATCTCTTCTCGGTCCCATCTCGGTCATGATCACAGCTTCATCATTCATTGGCTGTTCTTGCGACAGATTTTCCTCAATGTATATATCTTTAGATGATTCTGAGAGTTCTTGTAATGTAGAATAGGAATTTTCAGAAATATCATTAGTTTGGAGTCGCTTTTTCTTGGTAAACTGACGCGTATGATTAGCAATCTCTTTGAGTTTATCACTTAAAAGTTGATCTACCGCCTCTGGCAACCTAAAAGAACAATCTTTATAATCAAAATACACTAAAAATAGAACGTCAGAATTTCTTTTTTATATATAAGATAATCTAAATTATTAAATATTTATGCCACATGCATCTGTGGCTTTCATACTTGCGTACTTGTAATTTTTCTCCATGAGTCGGTTACCTAGGGTCGAACAAATTCTGGACAGTTTGAAGCATTCGCGTCGTCCAGCATTGATCTTTTGACGTGCTGTTGAAACTTTTGGACCCATGCTATTAACACGATTGCGCTGCTGTTGTAACCTTTCCTCAGCTATCTTTAACTGTTCTTTAAGTTTTCTCACTTCGTTGGCCAGAGTAGTTTGTACTTCTTTCTCCAGATCCCATTGACGAAGATTCCCTGACATTTCTGCTAAATGATCTAAGACCGTATACCTATATCATATAAATAACATAATTTAATATGAAAGCTCTATTGTGTGTCATTCTGTTATTATAGTTTGTTTCTCTGCAAAATTATTATGTATAATTACCGTTTTTCAACTAATTTATGCTCAGTTTCTCTTAAATATCGCTCTTGTTCTGCTTCTGGAAGACTCGTCAGGGAATCTACTTCTGCTTTAACATCCTTTTTAAGTGTGTCCCAAATATCATTCGCAGTACTATTATCGTCAGCAACCGAGTCAGATTTATGAGAGTCATTTTTGCTATTATTATTGTCTGTAAGTACAGACGTTGAAGTATCACGATTAATTTCTTGCTGACATTCTGCTTTATATTGAGAAAGTGACATTGTGGTTTCTATCGTCTCCTCGTGTTCACTCGAAACCGAAAATGAATTTAGAAGTTTTACAGTAGATGCAGTAGAAAAAGTACTACTATTACTATCTACATCATTTAGATTTTTTTCGACTAGATTTTCTGTTTTGACATCAGGCTCGATCAGATTTTCACTTTGACCGACGTTTATTGTCATGTCATGTTGCAAAATTGATTTGTCATTTATAGTAACGACTCGTTCAATTGCGTTCGGCTTCAACATTACTTGCATGTATTTACAATTTATCTCGTCTGTGCTTAACGTTCTCAAAGCAGATCTATGTTGCTGTGTGTCTGTCACGGATTGCTTCTCACGCAAATTCTCGACCATTCTACCGTTGGCGTGATTTGAAGCGGGAACATTAGTAATTCGAATGCTGAGATTATTCGGTATCGCTTTCTTACAGTTTTTAGTTTGCAAAAAACTTTGTGTGGAATTAGTATGTTTAGCAATATTCACTGAAAGTTTTTTCTCAGCGGATTTACGACAAACATTTAATTCTGACGTGTCTCTCGTCACATCGTCGCTTTTCTTTTCAACTTCTGTTGATGATTCTTGAGGAGGATTTTTTTCTGGCGTTTTTAAATTATCTTGGTTCTGTTTAACATGTGCTTTTTTTTCGCATGATGACAAAGATTTTATTGGTGAGCTTGCTACGTTAGTGTTTAATAATTTATTACTGCTATTATTACTACTACTACTACTATTGTTACTTGCTACTTTTCTCTGCAGTTTCAACTTTTCGCGCTCCAAGATTTCCTGCTTCAAACGACGATACTCCTCTTGCTGTGACGCAGGAAGATGCCTCACGGCCTGTAACAAAGTAAGAAAACCTGCAGAACTAAACTAATTAAGAAAGTTTCAGCGAAGAAAGTTTCAATTCTTCTTCAATATAATAAATCTTCGAATTGCGAATCTAAACAATATTAATCTCTTTCGTGTAAATTACTAGCATTAAAGGATAATTAGTGGAAATATGCAATCGCCTTACCAGTGGAGTGTGCATATTAGATGAACCGTTAGCCGTTTGTGGCACATCTCGCTTTGTCGCTTGCGTGGACGAACTGGATGACTTCGATGCGGCTGCTGCAGACTGTTCTTGTTCGTTTCTCACCTCACGCAGAAATTTACTCAGGTTCTTTTCAAAATCGGCGGGGATCTCCTGATGCGCCTGATGCTTCTCCATGATAGAAACAGACTCGTTTTTCTCCCCTTCGGACTCGGTATCCGTATCGGAACCCAAACTTATCACAAATCGCTGAGTGTCAGATGCATGCAACGATATTTTTGAAGCGTTAGCGTTGGACCATGCGTTTTCGCTAGGCTTCGTCGTATTGTTATCAATCTTTCGTAGATTCAATCTTCTCTTTACAATCATATTCTGATATTTCTTAGCGTTGTTTACCACCTTCGTGCTCGTGATTGCTTTTCTCGTTATTTTTTTCGAAGGACTCTTTACCGTGTCTAGGCTGATGCTTCTTTTCCTGCTGCCATTTTGCACCGAGATGGATGCGTCATTAATTTTCTTTTTTATTGTTTCCGATAAAGGCTTCAATGGTAATGGCTTCGATGATAACAACTTTGACGGCGACGGCTTCGACGGCGACGGCTTCGACGGCGACGGCTTCGATGGCAACGGCTTCGATGATAGTAACGGAGCATTGTTACTCACAGTACACGTTGTGCTAACCGTAGATGGCATGGTATCTGTCAATGTTTGATTTAATGCAGATGTCTGGACATTCGTTACAATAGAGTTTGTAATCGGAGTAGCTGGAGCAATTGGAGGACTGTTGATATCTGCTGATTTCGTTCGTTTTAAAGAAGCCAATAAAATGGCTCGTAATTCGTCCTCATCTTCATCAATGCTTTGTCTCCTACTAACGCTTTTAGTATCGGTGGTTTTGCTAACTGTGTCAGAATTCGAATTGTCTGGCGCGGGATTTGTTGACAAACAATGGGATTTAATGTGTTCTTCTTGCGAATATTCGACGGATGTTAACAGTGTGTGATTCTCCACGTCTCTTTTTTCGGTCATAATATCACCGGAGTTAATAGACTCCTGCGTATCAGTGATACTTTGCGATCTCGTCAATTCTCCATTTTCTATTAAAATCTTATGTGTACTAGCGTTATCATTGCTCTTGCTCTGATCAGATTCGGTTGCAATGTGATCTAAAGTAGACGCATTCATAATTGCATCTTTATTTACATCAGTATCCAAACATGAGTTCGTTTCATTCTCAAACCATTTAATCCAACGATTTTTCCTTCTGCGTTTCTCCTTTTTTCTCCTTTTCCTGCGAGCTAGAGTAGCTTCATTCGCTGATGACGTAGTAGTGATATCAGTCTGTCCCAGCTCAACTGTCTCATGATCTTCTTTGGATGAGCCTCTTTGATCCTCTGATGTATCTAAAGATTCGTTCACTGAATTGTCGAATGTAGGGAGCGTCGACAAAGCAGGCGCGGATTTTTTCACTACTTGTAATTTTATAGGTTTGAAAATACTACTATTCGCGTTTATGGCAACAACGGTCACCGGTTGCATCTCAGCATTTTTAAAAGTCGGTTCCGGCTCTGGTTCCGATTCTGGCTGCAGTATTTCGCGCTTCTTCAAATGTTGTCGCAGCCGCTTATTCGATTTCAGTATTGGCGCGGGTACCAGCTTTCTGTTGATTAATGTAGGTATTTTATTCATATCTTTAGTAACTTCTGGGATACCTTGCATATATAAAGGTTCCTGTAATGTTTTCTCTATAGCAACTTGACATGGTGCTGCTTCCATTGGAATGTATTCCATGGCCGGTAAATTTCTGTCGTCGCCAATGGGAGAGTTTAATGGATCCACAGATACCTCCGGAAGATCATCTATCGTTATCATCGATTCATTCGGCGACATTGATTCGGCGTATTTAACAGCGTACGCCGTTGTCGGAGCATTTGCAACGGAATTAAATGGAGGGACTGTCTGCATTTCGTAGGCGGGTTTATCATTTCTAAATGTGGAATCCACATTCACAAATACAATATCCTTGGCAGGTTGCTCCACGATTTGCTGCATCTGAAGAGAAGAAGCGAAAGTGCCATAGGAAGAGACAGGAGAGGTGAGAAGATCCTTGGACACTGGAAGATCATGCGTATCTGGCATATTCGTTAAGGAATAAGTACTTTCTTGACAACAAATTCCATCTATTAGATCACAAACGACACCGTTGCCGTGAGGATTCTCGAAACTTTTTCCGGTTACATCATTTAAATCTGAATGAAAGGTCTCGTTATTGTACTGTGATGGTGATTGCGCATAGAATTGCGGCTTACTTGGAAGTGCTTGGTAAGATAAGTAAGTTTCATTATAATAGGATGTGACGTTGTTCGTTGCAAGTTCATCCTGTGCGTCGTCAAAGACTGGGCTACCGATGTTCTCGTTTACATTAATAAACGATACGTCAGATGGCTCGATTCCAAGCAACGCTGTGTCTATAGGAACGTTCTCGGTGATCTTATCGGTCGGCGAGTATGGCAACTTCTCTTTCTCCCTTTCGATGTCAGTATCCAAGTCCATGTCTTCAATGTGATTGCTCTCGGGTGACGGTGTGCATGGCGGCGACGCATATTTCAACAGCTCATCGCTGGGCACGGGTATATCATCGAGAAAACTCGAACTAAACGGACTTTCACTGCGAGTAGGTCTCTTGGTTTTAATACCGCGTTGAACCCGATTCTGATGCTTCTTCATGACCGCTGAGCGCAGCGCGATCATACGAAGTTGCAAAGCTTCCTCGTCCTGGTCATCGTTATTCACAGCTAATCTCTTTTCTGATTCTACATCTGCTGAATGCTCCGATTTATTAGACTTTTTCTGCTTTGTCTCTAATGCTTTTTGTCGCAGCAATGCCAGATCATCCTCATCGTCGGCATCGTCGACTGTTTCGGATTCAACCTTTAATTTTCCCTTGAGGTGCACGTGGTCGTCGCTGCTGGCTCTGTTTAGTATATTCATATTCGATAATTTCTCCTTCAGCGACGATGATTCCTTACTCCGGTTGACGCTCGGTTCCGATGCTTGAGTTCCTATGGAATCCAGATGCTTCACCTTTTTTAACAACCGCGTCACCTCGCCGTGCCTATCGACATAGGAACGAGTAGACGGCGGCGAGCTCAACTTCGACGGCAGTCTCTTCGCTGCTTTCACAGGTGAATGACGACGGAGACTACGTTTTGGGGATCTGACCTTTCGCGGTGATTTCTTTAATATCGGAGATCTGGAATGATTCAGCGGAGATCGAGAAGATTGAAACGACGATCGTGCTATCACTGGCGATCTGTATCTTCGAACTGGCGATTTCGAGATTATCTTGGATCTGCCACTTGATTTGCGTTGATTTGGACTTACTTCCCTATATATTTTCACCGCGTTGACTCCTGCTATAGATGATAGCATATCGATGGAGGTTGGAGAAATCAATTCATCGATAGTGAGGGTTTCATATTCCTTTTTCTTTCTTTTTTTCTTTTTTACTTTGGCCTTTGATCGATTGGATGTATCTGTGAGACCGACGATTTCCATGTCGCTGTCGCTAGAGATTGGTACTAGGTCATCATTTTTCTCTTGTAACGTCGATGCCATGTGCTTTGTTGCAGCAAATCCTGTTTCTCTGACATGATGACGGTTTTCCTTCCCTTTGACTGGATCTTATAAAATAAGATTAACTGCTACTTGATTAAAACAAGATACTAGTTCAAATAATTACTATTCTAATTATATTTATTCATTGAAAGATAATTTTTCGTTGTACACATACAGACTAGTAAGATTTTTTTCAAAAATAATTCTATTAAAATAGGAATCTCTATAAAATTTCTCTTTATCTGATTATATTGTAATCAATAAAATCCACACAACACACTTTATCCAAGAGACGTCCTGGGGACATTTTTAGGATTCAAAAGACAAAGGAAATCTGTCCTCTGGATATCTCTTTTTTTAAGGATGTTTTTTTAAAATTTGTGCTGTGTGGGAAATTAAAAATAATATGTAGAATATTGTAGTGACAGAAATCAAAGAAACCTATATCAGAAACATTTCTTAGGGATACAATAATTGTGAAATCATAACAATTATTCAAATCAAATAAAACAATAAAGGACTCTTAATATTAAAAATATTTACAATAAAATGATTGTAGAGGGTACATAAGAGTCGATTTAACAAAAATGAGTGTAAAAATTATTATTATTTTTACATTATTTTGTTAACTTGACTCTTATATATGCCCTTTACAATCATTTTATTGTTTATAGCAATTGTTTCTTTGTATTACATTTATATCTTTAAAATCTTTATATATATATATAGAAACAAAATATACGCATAAATAAATAAACCAAAAGATCCAAGAGGAAATACCTTTGAATCTCTTAAATCCAGTTCCAATATAAGATTAATTTTATTCTCAGTTTAATTCACTGTTTCTTAGAATTAGAAAACAATAAAGATTAAACTGGATCTTAAGAAAAAGATAAACTTAAAATTAAACCAAAATTAAAGTTAATTTTACATGGATGGAACCAGGCCTTAACTTCAAACACAAGTATGAAATGTGATCAAAGAAAAAAGAAACATCTTGGAATGACAGATACGAATATGAGGTCCAGTATCACTTTACCTCTCCTGCTCTGATTCTTAGGATGATATGCGTTACACCAGGTAGCACAGTCGCCCCAAGATTTGCAATCAGGGCATGCACGCATTCTGCCGACGACGTAGTTACTAGTCAAGTGACCCATTCCACCTTCTTCAGATGAACTGACATCCTCCAACGAAATCTCGCCTTCTTCTTTCTCATCGTCCAGGATGTCGATTGTCTCCGTGCAGCCGCTTGACAGATCACTCGCCATCGTACAAACTTACCCGGCAGCGAAGAGTGAATTTTTTTGTCGCTGCTCTCTATTCTTAGCAAAATCCGCGCGTGAATCACTCCTTCAGACTTTGAGATTAATTACACGAAGACACGTTCAAGAATAAAGCAAAGAATGATGTATTCTTTCGATAGATAAATTATATCTACAGGTGGAAGAAAGAAACTACGGAGGAGGGATCACGTAAGTATCTTCTCACATCGTGCAAGGAAATTTTTTGTATAGAAAAAAAATGAAAAAAAAATGGAGACAAGAGAGAGTAAGATCGTCTGACGTCCCGGAAATACGTGGCAAATCTCGTTGCCGTGAATTTAATGCCGCTGAAACGTGATTAATTAACGTGCACTGTCAGCAATGAGCAATCTCAATCGCAACCTTGATTAAATACCTTGACCCCCCTTGTCGATTGTCCAACTAACACCAACAAATCAACGGAACTATGGCGGCCATGTTCCTTATGTCCCCACTTACATGTTCACGTGTAATGTATTATGTATTATGCATTTTCATTGAATTGTAATGGTGTGAGAGAAGATTGAGGACCATGTCCGTGTATTGGTTAATGGAAAAAGGCTAATCGGAAAAAGCGGTATAATATTAAAATTATTCGATTTCTCAAACTGGCCAAACTCTAAAGGTATTTTCACACAACTTTCTGCACAACCGTATAAAATATACATAAAGAAAATTATCCAATCATATTTCTTTTATAAAGATCGCATATAAAATATACCCTAATAGCGTTTTCCACTAGAACTAATGCAACACTGATGCATATTGAGTGCAATTGAATGCAAATCTATTGGGTTATCTAAAAAGTATCCGCGATTTTTTGTCACTAGATGTGTGTTGATGGTCATATATCTAGTAACAAAGTACCGCGGATACTTTTTAGATGACCCAATATAAATAATTTAACCCTAATCACATATCCTTTGTTATCACAAAAACTTCATAACCTTAAAAGGATTTATTAACACTGAAAATATATAAACAGATTTGCACTCCATTGCACTAATTTTTCTAATGAAAAACGCTATAATTTTCAGTGCTCAATTTTCTAGTATGCTCAATTATACTCAATTGTGCTCAATTTCCGTAGCATCTAATAATTCTGATAAATCTACGCGAGAGGAAGGGGGGATGTAGCATCCATTTTTTTATTTGCATTTACAATAAATCTATTCATATTACTTACACCTTTGCACTTTTTGCACTATCGATTATGAATGGCGATTGTTAATTACTTCCCAATCAGTTAGGACAAAGCAATGGCGATTGCTTTGTTTTGATTGGTTGAAAGTAATTGCCAATCACAATCGCATAATTGTTAGTGTGATTACGACTTAAAGAGACTTTCCTTTTTAAATCTTGAATACACAAATTTTTTGCGCAGACAATTTTATAAAAGAATGCTACAATTCTAAAGAATAAAAACGATATAATATATGCAATATAGGAATATTATATATTTATAAAAAAACACTCACAAGAGGATCTATGTAATTATTTATCAAATTTTCTTAGCAGAGATTTACTTTTTAGAACATTGAAATTGGACATGACATAATTCTCGAGTAGATTCTTATCAAATAGAAATCGCGCCAATGCTTGATCTCCAACGCCCGACAATATAGTCGTTAATCTTCCAAATTCGTTAATGCTTTTCATCTGATCTTCCATGAAACCGGTGATGATAAAATCACTCGCATTCAGATCACCGTGCTTCTCCGCTACAGAATTTACCGCAACTAGTTTTTTACCAACATCGATTTCCAATTGCAATGCTGTCTGCAGAAAATGTACATAAACAAAAGAATTAACTTATACACCTGAATAGCTGTTACTAAATGAAAGACTCTAATTAATTCTTAGGGAATGTATCATATTCTTAAAAAATATATATATATATAACATTATTTAAAATCATCTTAAATTACAACAGATTCGATTGTTCAAAATAAATTTACTTTGAATGCATGCAATGGACATTTCCAATCTTGATCATTTGGCAGCGATATAGCGTATAAACACACTTTGCCGCCTCGCATTTTTACATAGTTACAAAATCTCAAGGCATGTTCATGCTCTTCATGATGCATCTGCATAAAGAATGACTCACAGCCGGGTAAAGCGACGTCTACGCGGCCGAAATATGCAGCCTGTACAATGAAATATAAATTTTCATAAAATAACAATTAAATTATTTAATTATCAAAAGAATACATGTTATAAGGGGAATTTGTAATTATAGTAATTAAAAAGTTATAATCTATGATTTGTGTAAAATCCTAATTTCTTGTATTTAAAGTTGAAAGAAATAAAAGGGATCGTGCCATCGATAAATAATAATAAAATGCTATCAGCTCCGTATTTATTTGCTCATTCATAGCAGCTTCGGTTTCTTCGTGGAAATCAAAATTGGTCCTCTTTCCACTCGGCCATTTTGTTGGTTTATCAATACACATTTCTGTTTGATTATTTTCCGATTTTTTCCGTGTTAAGCTACATAATTTTTGTGAATTAATATAAATTGATGAAAATATATCTTATGTGTAAAAGATAAGAAAAAAACTAGACACTACATTGTGTCTACAATTTCATAAATTAAATTTTAATACTTTATATAACAAATTCATAATTTAAAAAATTTAATTTAAAAGAATAAGTTTCTAAAAAATGTTTTTTTTTATATTACTTATACGATTAAATACTATTTAGAATCTTGATTTATTAATGTAATTACCTGTAACCTAATTGTCGAATTAGCGAATAAAATTCATGATTGTGAGATTTTAAAAGTTTGTAATAAGGTTTACGAATTAATATTCGCAACATTTTTTTATGATTTTTTAAATTAGCATCAACCTATTCACATTAATTTAAATCATTTGTAAGTTACGATATAACGTCATTGATTTGAAGCACAAATATGTGTGAACATATATGAATTTAACATCAAATTTCGAATTAGAAATTTCAAGTTGGAAAAATCAAGAATCTCAAAAATAGCCACTAGAAATATATTGTTAAATAAGAGAAATAATCCAAAAACACCAAGAATTGCTTCAAAAAATTTTCATTACTTGTTTTCTTTCTTTCATCTACACACATTAACATACATTATAAAATGCTAAATATAAATAAATACAGATTGATTAATGTATTATCTAAAAAGTTCACTGTAATAAAACTATTCTCCTTTTCAATGATTAAGAAATTGTTCTAAGCTTTAATTTTAATATATTATCAAATTTATATTTTTATTATAAATACAATTGTACTAAAATATTGTAACACTGTTATTAAATTAATGTTCCATTTATTGTCTCTTAAGGGATATTTTTTTATAATAAAATATTGTATAATTAGTAATTGTAGTGACAGTCGTAGTAGTAGTCATCTTACTTGAAATTAATATACCGATTTGATTTTACACTGTCAAAATATTTTAAAATTATAAGCAAACAATAAATATAACAGTTTACAATAAATCATAAATATGTCATTGATTTATTGAATTAGGTGAAGGATCTGACAGTTGATGTGTATTATTTGAAGACACGGTATTTATAGAACTGAGACTTTCTTGTTTTATATTAGAACTGCTAAGATTCATATTGATCACAGTCGTTGATGTAGGATTCTGCATATCTAATTGACTTTGCGCAATATCCTGTAGAGCTGCTTGAATTCGCTGAAGAAGTGTCTCCCCTTGTCTTACCACTTCCTCCAGTTGTTCACCAGCCTGTTGATTCTCCTGTTCAAGTCTGCTAAGGCTGGCTACTTGTAGCTCCTGTGATGATTCTTCGCTTGGCAAACTCTCTATTAATGTATCTATATCTTTGGCACATCTTGCAATAAGATTTGCAAATAAGGCAGCGTAATCTAAAATAGATGAACTATGATTTATAATCAACATATATATTTAAATAAATACAATCAGATCATTTGTGTCCTGTACATTTCTTTTCTTTAAAATACTAAGAATACTTGACTAAATAATAGTCTCTATCCTTTCTTTTCTTTTTATCACAATTTTACAAATACCTTTTAAAGATGTTAAAGTGAATGTTAAATAAAAATCAATTTTTATATACACTTATAAAAGTAATAAAAATTAATTAACCCAGGACACAAATAATCTATATATATAAAGAACTGTATGAAATTATTGTATGTACTAAAGAGTAGTATTATATTATCAATGTATATTGAAACATGTAAAAACCTTCTTGAGATTGATGTGGCTGCGGGGTACCGATACGATCAAAACCAGGAAATTTACTGGGCGTAGAATACTGTTGTAGAATACCAACGCTGTTGCAAAAGTGTTCTGCTTGCTAACACAAAATTGACAATTAAGATCATTAAGATACCAAGATGATAAATGTATGAGACAATAAAATAGAAATATTTTATTACCTGATTTATGGTATCTTGCAACTGTGTTAGGCGATCTGCCATAATATCGAATTAATATGGATCACTTGTAATTAATTTAGATAGCCTCTTGTAACATTCATAACAATCAATAAAGGTAAGAGTGCAAGAATTTACCACCTGTCAAGACACCCTAAAAATCTCAGCGCTTTTTAAAGAAAAACAATATAATCGATTAAAATATCACTTAATTTTCTATGCAACCACGTTATCATAACGCACTCGAAATTTTGTTTACCTATTTATTGAAAAAGACGTTCTAAAACAACAATCTCAGAAAACGATTAAAAAAACCGTAATCTAACCTCCACACTTCCACGTTTTCAGCGCCACCTAGATGCTAGCCAAGCACATGTTAGATTTCCTACTCTTTTCCATAATTCCTAGGGAATTAAAAAAAAAGTTTAGATTTAAGTTGGGTATCTTTTTTGCAAAAAGAGCAGATCATCTATCTAAAGTTAGAAATACAATAGAAAAACTTAAAGGTGGGAACACAGATTTTGTAATGCACGAGACACATAAGATTTTGTGCTACTCGCTAGATGAAACAATATGACTTGAATTTCTTTAACTTTTATTATAACTTGGAAAATAAAACTTAAATCTATGGTCATATAATATTCTTTTCTCATTTTATATCTCAAATTTACTCTTTAAATTATTGACATACAATTGAGAGAAAATCACTCTGTTTATAATACATTGAGAATATTTACATTGTTTATAACATTGTTTATGTAGACATAATTGCACTAAATACAATTTCAATGTATTCCTGTTAATGTTATTTATCAATTAACACGTTTAGCAGTCGACGATAAATATAAAATGAAACACTGTAATATAATTCTATCATTAGGTGTAGTAATGATTCAGATATTTATCTCACTTTTCCAAATATCGAAGTCATATACTGGATCAGAAGGGTCTCATAATAAAGTAGGAAGAACGCATCTTAACATAATTTAGCATTTTCCATTGCATTTTTATAAAATGTTTACATGGGGAAATATTTACAAAAATATGAGTAGGGTATGATGAAGTATGAAGACGGGAAAAAGAATGAACAATTCAGTTGAGGGTACCACGGCATTGAGGAGCTCCGCAAAGGCAAGGGATTTTGTCATCCTCCAATGGGAATTTATAATCATAAGTAATTTCTTCATTAACTCCTATCGGTTGTTTACTGTAGATTACGATCTTCTTTTGGCTTTCGATCGTGATTACTTTTGCGTAACAATTCGGCTAAAAGAAATAAGGATTTGATAACTACAATATAAAGTATATATTACATATTATGTAATAATTATTATAAATATATTGCTCTGCTTCTCTCACTTCAAGATTAATTAATATTGAGTTTTGTTATATTAATAAATTAGAGATTAAGATTGGAATATAACAAATCAGAAGAAAAAAAAACTAATATCAATATTTTTATCAATTCATCAAGTTAAATTTTAATTCAGATTTTAATTTTCAATTTTTTATTTTAATGTTCAAATTTCTCTGTTTTTCACACATATACACACATAAATACACAAAATATGTTTATCATAGTCAGTCAAGATTAAAGAAATAGAGTGACTTACATTACAACTGTGATTTATAAACCTCGCCAAATTGCCGCATTTCGTCGCATCGATAATTGTATCTAAATCGATGCGGAAGAGGTAAGAACTTCCAATTCCAGTGGCTTCGTATTGAGCTTCTCGTAGATCGGCTACAACCGGTCTAACCATTTGTCCAACATATTCGATAACCATTTCATCGGCCGCGATTGGTTCCATGGCGAACAAGCCCCAATCGTGAATACCAGATTTAGCAAACTTCAATTGCTTTTTACGGAACTAAAACATAAAATATATATTATGAATTGCATCAGAATATTATATATATTAATATTAATATATATATTAGGTGTTGGAATTAATTCGTAGCGTTTTACAAGTGATGGGAAGTACTTTCATTAATGTATTTTTTAATGCTCATGTGAAATAAATAACATTCTTTCATTAAAAAACGCTACGAATTAATTCCAACACCTAATATTAAATTATATATATCACTACCTATATTAATATTACCTATTAATACTACCTATATTAGATATTTTGAATTATATATCCTACCTTTAATTGATTAAACTTAAGGAGATCACTGTCTGTATCAATTCCAAAAGCTGTTAATAGTCGGCGTTGATTACTTCGTGCCTCGCGTGACAATGCTTGCATTTTACCAGTCAACGCTTTAGAATTATTTTTTGGACCATTCATTACACCATCACCTCCACTGTAAGAGCCGCCGCTGTCCTCCACATCATTACTGCGCTGTATACTTTGAGCATAATGATGCTGCAAAAGCAAAAAGAATGATTTGCTATTTTTTTATAGATTTTCTTTAATAATAAAATAACATTATAATATAAGCATGTCTGAACTTTAAATTTTCTTTAGAAAAATGTATTTTTACAAACATATCGGATATATAATTTTTTACTTTATGTTTAGCCTTCTCCCTGATGTCAACTTTGTAATATCCTTCCGTTCTAGCACTTCCACTCGCATGCAATCGGAGTTCGTCTCGTTTCCTTTTTTTCGCGGGGCTTGGTACATCCGTCGGCGAATGATCAACCCAGTGCGTATCGTTCAACCAGTAACCTTGAGTGTCGTCCGCTAATAAAGCCTCGTAACTTCTTCTCAAATATTCTACATCCTCCGAGTCTATTCCCCTAGTTAAAAATTCATACAAAATAGCCATTTCTGACATAAGATCTCGTTCTTTGTACGTGACAGTCGGTTCTGGAACCTGTTTAGGAAGCTTATCATATATATAATCATTTCGGATATTTTCCTTCTCTCCCACATGATTCTGATTGCTGTGTATTTTTGTATATTTCTTGGATTTCTGTTTCTCGATTTTATGAGTATTATCTTTCGATTTCGCCAATTTAACAATCTTTGGATGTTTTACTTTCATCGAGGCTGGTGGTACTCGTATCACCGGTTCCACCGGCTCAGGTTGTGCAGGTGGTAACGAATACGAA